AAATGTCATGCAATATCGAATTGTTTCATACCATTCTGTGTACAGTACAGTATCTCAATACATAATACTGTACTGTATAGGGTTTGGGATTGCATCCCATCTGTGTATATACAGAGAGTGTTTGGTGCCCTTCATGCTTCTCATGCTACATGGGAAATATGTTCTACACACAGCATTTAGTCCAACAGTAATAGAGGCTGTCCCCAATACTGTATATGAACTTAATGTGTTCCTGAAGATGTGTTTGTAAACCAGATGTTCTTAAATTTGATCACCAGACCCCCACTGAAACAATTATATAATTAATTGGTCTCCAGATGCAAATGGAATTTTAAATAGGCCTATACCAGATAATAGTTGTGAGATACAGCAATTTGCTCCAATGAGCTAAACACGAGCTGAATATGTTTGACGTCTTTTAAAATGATCACAAGAATAGGAATGGACATAATGGCATGTAGATCCAAATATATGAAAGGGTTCCACACCTGAAATACCTTTCATGAATCAAAGTTTATAAATAAGACAAATTTTTCCCAAACACTTCCATTATAAAAGCTATGTTCCTAAAAAAAAAAATAAAAAAAAAAAAAATCTAGAAAACATGTTTTTAATAATTTTTTTTGATGTACTGTACAATGAAAGACAAAATTCATGTCGTAAAATTTGGTGAAAACATATGCCGAAGGGCTAAAGCTTTTGGTGCGCTCTGCCTTGTGGTATGGTTCTCATAATGTTTCATGAGTTTTATTTAATCTTCGGACAAAACCGCGACACGACTTTTGTCTTTAATTGTACATGACGATTATTAGTCAATGATAAATGTAATAAGTTAAATACGTATGTACAGTACAGTAACATTTTTATATTTACAAGAAACAGGAGCGCTTGAAACTTGAGGTGATGTGGCTCAGTTAACCACACTTAATGTGTTGTTTTCAGTTTGTCGTCCCTTATTTTTTTCACCACCTAACAGTTTAACACTTAACAGTTTACTAGCCATTTGGGGGGTTGGTCTATCCAGTGTTAGTACAGGAGGAAACCAGACTCTGGGAAACTTGTGATGTTTGGCAGAATCACACTAGATAACATCCTTCTCACTTGTGTCTGGTCCAAGTAGGATTCAAACCTTTGACATGTTGGGGAGAGATATGCGTGTTACTGTTGTAATTGTGCATACCGGTATGTTTTCCACATTTTGAGCTGTGTGGCAAAAGTGGCCATTTGAACCACAGTGGCACTACTGTCAAAATAAAATTTTGAGACCAGTTTGTTTACATACAAAGTCTACCACATATGTTTCAGGCTTCAGCAAAATTCTTAACCATTAAATATCATGAGTTGCACCAAGCTTACTTAAAAATATTACAGGTTTTGTATTACCTTCTCTTGTAACATTCTTATAGCACTGGACTTGTGGAATTTGTGGTTTTGTTTATGGTATGAATTAATGATGTAAACTGACCAGGTCCAATACAGGAATCCCTGAGATGTCTTTATCTTTCTGAAGCTGTAGGAAGATAAAGAAAAAATCATAACTTCAGGGTTTTCATTTTTTCTTCATAACGTTTTAAAATTTATAGACTGAAGCTTTATAATTGGGATCTGCCTGTAAAGTATTAAGGAATTTTTTTGGTTTATGATATAAAATATAGTGTGGAAATGTATTTTATACAAAATAGTCATATTTCAGAGAAGGATTCATTTTATGAATAAATAGGTTCAGTTGAAGTGATTAAGAGATTTTTGCTCTTGACTTTGTTAAATTAGAAGATGATAATTTCTTGTTTTATGGTAAAATAGATGATGGCAATTTATGTTTTTATGCCAAATTAGAAGAATATGATAACTTTTTGTCTTTTGATATGTTAAGCCTTTATTTTTTCCATTTACAGGAAAGGTGTCACGGAAGAGTGTATGTAGGGAAGAGATCTCGAGGCATTGCTTCTCCATAACATCATTTGATGGTGCAGCTGAAGCTCTCAAAAGGTGCATTTTCATAACAGTTTAGTTTTCAATATTTTATTTTGTTGATTGTTTAAATCAGTTCGTTTTTATGTCTGACATTATCTTCTTAGCAGCCACCTCAAGGGATGAGGGCTGTAGGTGGCTGGGGGTGCCATGTTTAGGGGTGTGATGAGCAATGGAGTTCCACATCAGCAGGAAGTTTCCAGGTATGGACGACCAACTGCCACTGTATTTATGGACCAAGCAGGCCCAACAGTTTCAGGCTCAGCAGCTGCAGGCTCAGCAAATACAAGCACAGCAGCTGCAGATTGAACAGGTGCAACAGGTACAGCAAGTTCAGCAGGTCCAGCAGATTCAGCAGATACAGCATGTTCACCCTGAGACAACTGATGGTAAATACACTTGTTTGGAATGTGGTAAGACATTTTCAAAACGAAGCAGTTTTGAGTACCATAAGAAAACACACACTGGTGAAAAGCCTTTTCGGTGTGAAGTATGTGGAAAGGCTTTTGCAAACAATCGTAATCTTGTAGTTCACACACGAATTCATACAGGCGAACGTCCATTTGAGTGCCAAGAGTGTGGAAAAGCCTTCACACAAAGAAGTATGCTCACAGTCCATCTCAGAATTCATACTGGGGAGCGACCATATCTATGCAGTGAGTGTGGCAAGTCTTTTTACCAAAGTGATCACCTCACCAAGCACCGTAGGATTCATACTGGAGAGAAACCCTATTCTTGTAATGAATGTAGAAAAGCTTTTTCAGATAGTAGTGCATTGAGACAGCATATAAAGAGACATCAAGAGGTAGGACCTTTTAACTGTGAATTCTGTGAAGAAATATTTGAAAAGAAAGTGGCATTTGATTTACATATGATGGAACATAAGGGCATAAAACCAGAGGAATGTGATGAATGTGGGAAGCAATTTCCTACAAGAGGTCTTCTTACAAACCACAGAAGGACTCACTTTAAAGAAAAAGCTTTTAAGTGTGAACTTTGTGACGAAGAATTCATGAGGTTGGTAACACTAAAGAAGCATGTCAAGTATGCACACGGTCATGGTACAGCAAGTAGAGTTCCTCCAATTTATGATGATAGACCAATTAGAAAACCCTATGGAGAGTCTAAACCATTCAAATGTGATGAATGTGACATGACTTTCACCACAAATGGCAAGTTTCTTGCTCACCAACAAACACATCGTCCAAATAAACAGTACAAGTGTGAAGATTGTGGCATGTGCTATGCAAAGAGCTACACTCTTGAAGTTCACAGGCAAATGCATACAAGTATGTCTCCAGTTATTCAATCTTCACCTTTAACAACTGTTACCACCATTGCTTCCGTCATGCCTGTTTTAACCATACCTGCCTCTGTGAATGTCCCACAAACATCCAACAAGATTACAGCCTATGTTAAAGTTCCACAGCGGCCAATAGCCGTCAAACGTGAACCACGCTATGATGATCCTTTGGCTGTGGCCACTGCAGCCGCCCAGGTGACGCCAGATCTTGTAGAAAGTCTGACTATACCAGAGCAACATCAACCGTATAATTACCACTACTCTGTCCAAGGGAAGACAATGTATACTACAAAGTTTCGCAAGTGATTTACAAATATTTGTCAGGGCAGACCGGGATGGAGATAATGCTTGCAATATGCACAAAGCTAACCTTAAACACTTCTCTGAAATTCTGATGTAGTTTGTCCACATGGGTAAGAGAGATGCATCCTGGTGACTAATGGAATTTTTCATTAAAGGTAAGGAAGATACCAGCAAATCTGAAACAAGACCAAACTGGGGTAATTTGTAGCCAAGATGCCTCACCTCTGTATCTAATGTGGGTTGTGGTTTGCAATTTTCACTTTCTCAGTAGTAAATTTATTTACTCTTTAATGTGTTTTTTGTGTCTTAAGTCTTTTAATTGAAATAATGCTCTGCATAACTAACTCTAATTTTGAAATTTAGTTCATAAAAATATGAATGGTTACCGGTACACAGTTTGTAAAGGTTTGCCAGTATCTCGTATTAAAGGGTAATTTAGAGAACATTGCTGTACTTCAATACAGTGACAAAGATGATGGCAGGTATTGTACTGTACTCTCTTGGGAAGGTCAACAATAGAAAACAGTGTACTGTTGGTGTTCAGTGAGGCTCTGTTCAAGTTGGGTATATTCACACTTTAATCTTCCAAAGCTTCATGTTTTAAGAAACTTGCTCACAATCAGAAGTTGATAATGAATATCCATGTTTAGTTAAGGGGAGGTTCCTGATGACAATCTTTTTTATGATCAGTATTGAATATTTTTTACTACTTTTTTTGAGTCGGGTACACATCCAAGCAGTTTTTCAAGTACAGGTACAATAATCTTGATTTTGTTATTTAATTCCTGAATGGAGGAAATAATCAAAAGCATGTATTCAGTGGTGTCACTTGCCATATATTGAACTAAAGATATAAATGAGATATTTGGAACTCTTGAGACATATTACATAGACTAGGAATTTAACGATGTTCAGTGGCAGCCATATAGGGTGCTCAGGATGAGGGGTGCACAGGGGCCCACGAAACCCTAATCTGCCAACTTTAAAGAATTTGCTAACAAGTAGTGGTAAACTGAGAACAGCAAAGTTTAACAGCATATGTAAAGGAACAGCCATTAACAGCAACTTATCAAAGATTAGATGCATGGGGAACTGAAGAGTGATTCAGATCATAAGACGAGATTTGTGTTTAATGTTAGTACTGTACAGTACTGTATTGACAAAATCATTTTGCAACAAGCACCGGCTCAATGGTATTGAATAAGTAACAAGATATTTTTCACTGTTAGCACCACGGTAATTTACTTTATGTAATACCTCTCATGAGGAAATGAGAAAGATATCTTCTGTTTTTGAATTGACAACCAAACATTTACTGTAATTAAATATCACACTCCTGTCAAGTTACTATGAAATCATATAGGTTTTGAGCACTTTCTTATCTACTTGTTATCTTGTCATCAGCTGAAGTCATTTTCCAAACCTTAACTGATCCAAGACAAACCTTAGATATAACTTTGTACAAGACACTTTCAGTATCAGCTGATCTCTTAATGTTTGTAAAGAGTAAACAAGCACATGTGGAGATTCCATATTTATTCATTGATACATTTGTTTGTCTTAAAACAAGAAAGAAAAAATTTTGAGTTGTAGTTGTTCTTCCAGTAGACAATACAGTAACAAACACACCAAGCGAGATTCCAAAAACAGTTGTTCTGATCACTTGTCTTTAGGAAGATAGTTTTGAAATTTTGTTGAAAATTGCAGTTGATTTTTAAGTTCAATTTAGTTTTAATTGAAGTTGAAATCTGTATTTGAACACTACCATGTATTTATATTTTATAGTTATATAATTATAGTAATTGAATTACGGTCACTTAATGCTGTAATGTGTTTTGTATATTATAAATCAGGAAAGAGTAGTACGTATACAGTATATATCATGTATTTACAGATATATGCATTTGAAATAATTTCTAACCATCTTTTAAATTTTTGCTATATTGTTGTACTGTATTTTGTTTGTATATGTGCATATATGATAAATACAGTTACTAAGTTACTATATGTTCCACTAATTTTTGGGTTTGATCTGTACAATAGGTACAGTATAACCAAACTGGTACAGTTCCCTTATTCTATTGGCTATCATCATACAGTATTGTACCTGTACTACATTTGTGTCATGCAGAGGCAGGAAGGGGGGGGGGGTCTGAAAATTACTCGGTACAAAGGCCCACAACTTAATAAGACTGCCATTGGCAAAGAATAGACCTCTTCTACCAGTTGTTTCAAATTGGTATTGCAAAATTTATTACACACAAAAATAGGTTTGAAAACTGTTAAGATTATTGATTAAATAATTATATTTTTTAAATAAATAAGGAGCAACTGAGATAAAAGAGCCCTCCTTAATATATAGAGGCAAGTTTGTTAATAATTTTACCATGTAATTGAACAAACTACATAATGGGATTATTAAGTAATGAAGCATCAGCTCCTCATGCCCACTCCAGTAGATTTACAAAATGGATTTACATAGATTTCTGTATTTGATGGCAATCAACTTGTGGTCACTTTCCCAACCATTTGTTTTGTACAAGTTTCATAGATACTAGACACTTAGAGAAGGTGTAGTCAATTATTAACTTTAAGTAGAAAATGGAGAACAGAGATTGAGGCTCTTGTAATTATTTTCTATCTGTTTACCTTTCTAACTACTGTATTGGTTATTTGTACAGTACTTGTAATTACCCTGGGGTTAATGGGAGGTACCAGACCTATAAGAGGTCTCCATTGCATTTCCTAAACCTAGTTAATGGCTGCCTCACATACCATTCATGGTATTACAAGAGAAATGAGGTTGAATTAATTATTCATTGATATTGAAGAAAATTAGAGTTGAGCTTCCAGTGAGTGAAGAATGTATAATAACATGCCATTTGTGTCTTTAACTCAGATGGCTTATATATTTTGTGAAGACCCAAAGGTTGCTAGTGTGTACAAGATCTACTTTTGAAGTTTCAGTATCTTCTGTGGGACGTCATGGGTTGAAATATCTGGCACCACATTGCATTATAACCCCGGTGTGGAATCAATATGAAATACGTAGTAGCGTGTTGGATTTATTCTTCACCACATTTCAGATTTTGCGATCATGTTTTTTTTAACTTGTGTCAAAACATTTTAAAATAACATCAGTTTAGTAGGTATTGTCATCTCCCACAGTTTATTCATAAATTGTTTGATTTAAAACTAAAAAGCTAAGAAAACTTTTGTACTACACTTTTATAGATGGGAGACCATTATTAAATTGTGGTACTAAGTGACAGTTATCTCAGAATAGCTGCTTCAGGACTCTTGGGTGATAGATCATATGCTACCTCATACCCCTTATTGTAGTCATTTATTCTGGCATTACACACACACACATTCTTAACTATAAAAAGAACTTCTCCTTATGGCATACATT